CGGTGTCTATTCAAGCGGAAAGACCCACTAGGGCAAGGCACTAGGATCTACATTTGGATTTTTTTTTCCTTTTGATTAGGTAAAGGAACTAAAAGGTCAAATTATCAATATTTAATTCAAATGGAAATGCATTTGTTCAAGAGGAAAGAAAACACTTTATTTAAACAAGGTGGGACTCTGGGGGTAAATGCCTGGATCAAAAATAATTAGGTTTTGCAGTTACAACAGCATCTAAATCCCTTCTGATAAGAATCCTTTTTCCTAATAACAGAGGTGGTTTGACACCGATAGCAAAGAGTGCTGACGCTATTTAAACTGTAGCTCAGGAGGTAGCCGGCCTACCAATACAATTTAGACATTTGCTTTAATGGTACGTACTTCTCTGATTTGTTTTTTTTTAATCAATTTGAATTATATTTTAAATCTATTGTGATTTCATAATTGTGTGTACTTGACTAAAAGAGTAATTTAAAAAGCTGATAATTAAACCTTGGTGGTGATGTATTTTCCATTAACTAAATAGAAGTTTACATTTATAGAATTAAAATAACAACAGCATTTATCTAACAGGGAAAGGCTCAATAAAATTAATACGCTGAGTTTTAAGGGGGGAAAGAGCAGCAAAGGCACCTTAATCACCCGTACCAGTTTTGGAGCCCCGATGCACACTGTATCCTAGAGAGACGCTACGAAGTGCGAAGAGGTCTCACCCCGCACCGAACCGGTACCGGCGCTGCTTGCAGGGCGCTGCTCTCCCTCGGTGATTCCCGAGCCACGGCAGCCGGAGCAGGCTGGCCACAGCTCGGGGTGATCCGGGCAGCGGGGCTGCCCTCTCCTCCCGTCCCCTCCTGTCGCCGCAGCGTTTGGAAAGGGGCGAGCGGGGGAGCACCGCGGGCAGCCCCAAGCCGGCCCATCCCGAGCCCGATCCCGATCCCCGCGCTCCGGCCCCACGGCGCGGTGCGGTGCGGTGGGACACAGGGACAGCGGGGAGAGACGCTTTCCCTTCTCTTTTTTTTTATTCAGGATAACCTTCGTATTTTGTGTGGGTGCCTCTCTGGAGAGGGAGAACGGAAACCTGGCAGCGAAAGGAGAGAGCCCGGAGCAGCCCGGGCTACCGGGGCAGTAAATCACTCGCTCAATTATAAGCGCGGCTTCCTCCCTCCAATAGCTCCAAGCTATTTGGGGAGGCATCTTTTCCCCGCACTCTCGCAGGTGCAATATGAATCAATTATCTTAATTAAGATAATGCCGCAAACCCAAGAGATTTTCATCGGGAGCGGATTTCGCGCTCCGGACAACTGCAAGGCGTTTCCACAGCGCCGCTTCCCCCGCAACAAACCCCCCTCCCGGCCGGCTGGGACAGGGCTCGGAGGGGCCGGGAGGCGGCAGCTGAGGCGGGAGCGGGGCGGCCGGGCCGGACGGAGCTTTGTTGGGACGCGTGCGGTTCGCGTGCCGCGCCGCGGGAGGAGCGGAGGGGGGCGGGAAGCCAGCGAGGGAGGGAGGGCAGTAAGGAAAAAGAAAACGGAAAGGGAATGAAAAGAAAAAAAAAAAAAAAAAAAAAAAAGAAAAAAAAAAAAAAAAAAAAAATAATAAAGGGAAAATGAAAAGACAAAAGGAAAAAATTTAAAAATCATGAAAAATAAATAGAGAGCGAAAAGAAAATCAAAGGATTCGGGGGGAAAAATAAACAGAAGCCGAATTAGAAGCCAGATGGAGAAGGAGGAGTCTGTAGGTCAGGGAGAAAAAAATAGGCACGCTTGGAGCGATAAAATCAAGCGGCTGGGGGAAGAGGAGAAACAGGGAAGGTGGGAAACTGGAGCCGTTGAGCCAGGGGACGGCCCGAGCAGGGCAGGCAGAGCCGACTGCCTGCGAGATCGGGAGGAGAAGCAGTGCCGAAGCAGCGGGAAGAGCGGGAAGGATGAAGGCGGAGCGGCAGAGAGCCCCGTGCCCCCGCAGCGCAGCGCTCGCCCCCGGCCCCGACGGGCGGCACGGAGCAGCGCCTCGGAGCTGCCGGCCCGGCTCCGCCACGGCCACGCGGGGACCCTCGCCAGTCACGACTGGGACGGGACAAGCCGGGCTCGGCGGGTTTAAGCCAACTGTCCGACTGCCTGCTTCTTTATTTGTCTCTCTAGTTACCTGCCAATCGACAACGTGTTGATTTTATCTTGCTCCCAGGGAAGATGACTGTGTTCATCACACACAGAAGCACACGAGCACCCCAAAGTTCTCACGGCGCCCCGAGATCCAGTTTTCTGCCGGTGCCCTCCTCCCAATATTCTTGCCTAGTGTTTCCTCAGCGCCCCACATTCCCGGGTGTATTCCCAGACAGACCCATTCAAAGGGACATTTTCCATCAACCGAGACAGGGCTGACCAGACCCATCTCTCTCCTGCGCTCTCCAAACCTGTTCGAGGTTTGGAGAACACCGCCTCCAAAACGCGTCCGTTCCAGCAGCTCCCGGTAATGGGGCCGCGCTCTCCAGGGGGCTGCCGGCCCGGCGGGAGGCCCGGCCCAGCCGCCCAGGGTACGGGCATGCTCCCGGAGCCTGGCCCGGGGCCGCCTCTGTGGCCAGAGAAGGCTCCACGGGCAGAGGCCATCCATCGGTGGGTCGGCGCCGGCGCTTCCCTCCCCGCTGTTCCCCGGGGAAGGGCCGCAGCCGCCGGTGGCCCGAGGGTGCCCCGCTCCAGCCCCACCCGCCGGACCGGGTGGCACACACCGCGCTGCTGGCCCTCGCCTCCCACAGGGAACCGGCCAGCTTTGGCATAACAAAAAGTAGCCGGTCGCCCTCTGTATTTGATTACCGAGAAGGCGAACCTCCCCGGAGTCCCCTGCTGCTGCCCCGGGCTATGTAGGTCACCAACAGGAGAGAAACGTTTTAGAAATAACCCGACCTGGAAAATTATCTTCCAAGTCCATCTCCTCAGGGCGGAATGATTTGTTTCGCATTTAAAGCCTCAAGAGGTGAAAATAATTTTATTTTTATTGAACAAATACCGGATAATGCGTGCGGGTACCACAGCTATCATGCGAGGGGTCTATCTCCCTCCTTAAAGCGCATCCCTAGGGTTTGGCGGCGTCTGCAAACTCCGCCGAGGCGTTTAAAGACTCTAAAGCCGCCCCACTCGGCGTCTTTCTTCCCAACTTTCCGTTAACCGGCAGTATTCCCACCGAAAACCCGGGGAAAGCGAACCGGCCTTTACTCCAGGCGTTAGGACAGAGCGGCAGGTGTGTGTGTGTGTGTGTGTGTGTGCGTGTGTCACAACAGCCCCGGCGAAAACCGGGGAAAGAGGAGGGGGCTTGTGGCGGCGAGAGAGCGAACAGGACAGGGACGGGGAGTCTCGGGGGGTCACAGGTGCGCGTTAGGAGAGGTAAGGGGGGGCGGCGAGGACCCTCGGTGGCCGCACCCCAGAACAATGGGAACAATGCGGCTCCGCGGGCCGGCGGCTCGGCGGTGTCGGTGCGGTGTCGGTGCGGTGTCGGTGCGGTGTCGGTCGCTGTGGCTGTGGCGGTGGCGGTGCGGTGGCGGTGCGGTGGCGGTGACAGATGGCGCGGCCCGCGGGTCAGCGCGGGCGTGGCGGCTCGGCGGGCGGGCGCGCGGCCGCATACAAATAAGGGGCGTCA